TCCAATACACAGAAGATGTTTAAAAAAAAGTATTTAAATGGATTGAGGAACATAAAAAAAGGTTTTTACAACATTAAAAATGTTAATGTTGAACTTCATAGGTACCTACATCATTTAGTGAAACAAAAGGTCAGCAGAAAGAAAGAACATGTTTCTCTATCAATTGCTGAATTAATAGAAAATTTTGTTGTGCCAATTTACAGAAAGTAGGTAGGTAATGAATTTAAAGTTTAATCTTAAATTCATTGTTATTAGGGAAATAATGCCATTAGAATAATATGACTAATGTAAAATCTACTACACTAAATGTTTAGTTAAGGGTTGTTTAGCTAATTTTATTGTTACCTTCATCTTCCCTGAGACGTGGCGGTGGTGGTGCATCTCCCACAACTATATACTGTGCAGCTATATCATTCTTTGGTGCCGTCCCTGTAGCTTCTGCTATATCTCTCAACACATCCGCCTTTGTTTTCCAAGTCTTCACTTTGGCCATATTAAAATTTGAAGTGAATCTGACTGTAAAAACAAAACCAAATTTTATATATACATATTCACATATTTTGAGTGAGTACATCAGAACAATTTTGGTCTAGATTTAAGTACCTATATAGGGTCTGTTCTGTTCACATTGTCTGATTAAGTTTCTAATACTCCGATGTGGTTTCGCCCGCTGTTTGGCTCTTATAAATTGTAGAGTGATGTTTTATAGTCTATGGCCTTTCTGGATAAATGGACTAAAGAAAAACAAACACACTCTTCAGCTTTACACAGAGATTAGTTTAACTGACAGTTTCTGATCAACTCTTAGGCGGTCACCAGTCCAGTCCACCACCATCTGTCCACTCACTCCATTATAAACCTTACTTCCAATGGTTAGAGACTGCTTTTCTATGAACAAATTTGGTTACAGGACGCGAACTAGAAACTGAAGAACAGATTCCAATCACGGAACAGAAAAAAACATTCCAATAGCTTAGGTACTAGTTGGTATCCATTCGGGCGGAAGCTTGTTATAATAAGGAATAAAATTTATAAAACTTACGTTATTACGTTGTACTTCTATTGTGTAGTACGTTTGGTGTTGTATCCTTTAACCCCAATAATGAATGAACTGACTGACTGGTATTCTCGCTCGCTTTGCTTGACACCAAAGTTGACTAATGAATGACCTGACCTGACACTGACACTGACTGACTGACACAAAGATAGGTACATATACGGTCCAGGGTTGCCAGACGAGTAAGAGTAAAGCGCGAAATATATTTGCGTAGCCCGTGTGGCGTGCTCCGTGCTGTTAACTATACATTTATTTTCGCAAATGGTTTAACCCGTCTGATTACAATAAACAACAGAATACCTCACTCTTGAACCTCCTCCCACTGACAAAAAAATCGTAGGTACTGATAAAACGTCCCGCTCCATCGTAAAACAAAAACCATCTAAGAAATACAATTTCACATTCATAATACTTATTCAATGACTACAAGATTATTCTAAACAGTCGGCTCCGTAAAATGTAAAGAACATAATCTTCAAGAGCAACACAGTACAAAAATCTTGCTCTGAAAGGCCTTAGTACGAGCTTGATTTACGTTTAAAGTATTCGAAACGAGTATGCGTTCGGCACTCTGACTGGCCGGCGCCAATGAAGCAACCAATCACAGCGCCGAACGCGTACTCGTTACTGGGGCGTGACTTTTCTTACGCTAGATTCCTTTAACAGAGGAATAATTTTATAATTTTCTTCCTAAAAATAAATAATGATAAATATTCTGCGAATAAAAATTATTTGAGGAGAAAGGATGTTGGAAAATTAAGGGCCTAGTAAACGTTAATATTACGTTTATAGAAATTGAAATTGAAACTTCAATCTATTCTAATAAAAAATTTAAAAAATCGCAAAGAGTTTACCTTACTCTTGATAAAACTTATCTAGTTTTAATTAAACCACATTGGATTTAAAAAACTCAGAAAGCAGATTAAAATAAGCAGTGTACCACCATTACAAATACAATGCTCGTCTTATATTGTTAACATCAAAATGAAATTACAAAATCAGGACTAGCTAAACCATAACTATTAATTGGCAAGAAAAACAACAACAACAACACATAAATTATTAATAGACTTTCCATAGATTAAAATGCACAACTACAAATATTTTTATTTGTTTTCGTATACTTCTACTTAATTTGCACATAGTGATGATTAATTTGATTTTAGATTTCCTAAAAATCAAATCCTAAAGGAGTTTGTGGATGGAAAAAATAGGCAAGGAGAATATAAAACATGCATCAGTAATAATAATATGCTCCAACCATTTTGAAGAAGAATGTGTGAACAGAACATTGAATAATTTTCGCCTTCAAGATAACGTAGTTCCTACTCTTTTTGAAAATGACCTAATTTTCAATGACACTATCAGTGAACATGAGAGTTCTCATAAATCGTTATTCTTACATATTTAGATATAAGATATAAATATTATGGAAAAAGCATGAATAACACGTGTCAAAAAAAAAATATTTTTACAAAATTAATATTGTTTCGCCATGAATCTTCTATTAACGGATATTATAATCAGCAAAACGTTTGACATTTATTCATTACAATGCACTCTGATCTACCGCTGTCCCCCCATTCCAGCGTACTGTTTCACAGTACAGGAAAAAGCACGGAGTTCGATGGTATAACTGTGTTTGATTTTTAGCTGTCTAATTTTATATAGGTATATGAAATAAGTTCAGTCCACGTGATTTTGGAGCAACGTTCTGTAGCCAACATTCTCTGGAAAGATCAGGTTTTTTTAATACAGTACTCGCTTAAGAATCTTATTTAGATTATTATTGTACTTTCATATGAATCGGACGTCTTGATGACTTATTAGAAAATAAAATAAAATAATTACGATTGCAATATCGTGACCTAGATTAACAATTGCACATTAATACTGGACAAAACGTGCGTCATCGTGTAAAAGTGTGAATTGACAATGTTCTGTAATTGACAAGTGAATACTTTGCATCATGGAAAACAGCCCTTTTGCCCAGAGTAACCGGGTTGTGCGTTCTCCGCCTGGTACACCTGCATCTACATCTGCATCGACCTTACAACCACCGACCCAAAGTACCGATGCCCCTGAAGTTGTCGCGACGCCCGAGATCCAGAAGTGGCTAACGACAATCGACCAGACCCTTACTGACATATGCCATATTGTCAGTGATGGCAAGATGAACTCGGAACAAAAGCTGCGAGTCAACGCCCTATGCAGGAGAGTGAGTAACGGGACTTCACAGATGGCAGTACTTTACCAATCCCTCAAAGCCAGAGCCCTACTTGCCCACCAAAGTGCTTGTAATCTTGAGAATCAATTAGACCTCTCCCTGCAGCTTAAAGACCTTCAACAGAGAATTGCTGAAACTCCTATACCTGCCCGAATAAACTCTTTCGCCGATATGGTAAAAAAAGGTGCGAATAATTTCATCCAGCCCTTAAAAGTAAGTTCTGTAGTCATTTATCCCAACGACAAAACTAAGACGAGTGATGAGACGAAAATACTGGTCCAAAAAATTATCCGCCCTGAAGAAATGAAATTACAAGTTAGAGGCCTCCACAAAACTAAAAACGGCGGCGTCATTATCAGTACCGAGTCAAAAGGCGATATAGTAAAATTAAGACAGTCAGCGCAACTTATAAGTTCAGGCCTAACTATCGATGAGCCGAAGAAAAGAAAGCCCAGGGTCGTCATCATAGGAGTGCCATCGGCTATGTCCGACATCGACATGTTAACATGCTTATACCACCAAAATCTGGCAGACAAGTTGGAAAACTGCAGTCTTGACACTTTCTTGACAACAACGAGGTTAAGCCATAAATCAGGGCGGAGAGATGCTGAGACCTGCAATTATGTGATCGAAGTGACTGCCGTCATTCGAAAAGTCCTAATATCCCAGGACCGAGTCTTTATAAATTGGTCATCATGCCCTGTTCGCGACTTCACTCTAGTGACCAGGTGCTTCAAGTGCCATCAGTACGGACATGCTGCTAAATCATGTCGGCAGACCTCTCTTACTTGCGGACATTGTGGCGAACAGGATCATTCCATAAAAGATTGCCCAAAAAAGTCAGATGAGCCGAAATGTGCTACTTGCATTCACTTCAAGAAGCCCCACAATCACATGACTGGTGCTACTGAATGTCCTGCAAAAGTTATGGCCGAAAAAAGGTACATAAACTCGGTAGACTATGGAGACACGTAACACCGCTTATAAAACGTTTATATATTACAGTTGCGCAATATACGCAGGTTGACGTACTCATCATCTAGTTGCTGTCTAAGCACATTATTGTAATTTGTACTAAAACAGCAAGTGTACGATTGTGGACTCTAACCTAGTTTATATCTCTACCGATGCAAATAATAAAATAATAATGTATATTAAATAGTCATATTTTAGTTTGTCAGAATTATGTCAAGTATTATGTTTGTTGAAGAAAGAATGTATTACAATAAAATTATAATTATGTTAGATCTACTCTCGCCTATGACACAGGATTATCCTAGTACAGGCACCTAACCATATGAGATCTATTTTTCTTATCCAGGGAATATTTTTGTATCTGTGTCCATTTACATTTATGAATAAAGATTATTTATTTATTTATTTATTTATTTTATCTTATATAAAGTTATCGTGGAACGAAGGTTTCAATGGTATTAGTATTTATAATATTAGTCAGATTATGATTATGTGAATGTTTTACCATCAGTTGTATATTTTAGCAATTCTTTTATTTTTTGTTTCGAATTGAACTAAATGAGAAGTTATTATTCTATATTTACATTGAATTGCCTATGTTGATATATTATGTAGACGTAAGTACAACACTATTGTGGGCGGAGATCCGCCATTTTTGAGGTCTTCTTGGCTTCAAATCACGTGATCATATTTCATATCCCCTATTATACATCTTTGGACACTACTGACAGTGACTGACAGTCAGTCAGTCTGACTCTGACAGAAAAAAGAAACATGAAATCTTTGTTGATTTGTTGAGAAATAGTCTTAAAAATTTTAGATTTGCAACAGTGTGAAAGATATTGTGAATTTTTTTTAATCATGGGTGATGACAAGCAAGCCAGCGATGTTCAATCAGATCTATCTCAAGCGACTGAGAGTTTAAAAATTGAGAGTGAGCAAAAAGATAATGGAGACTCTTCGAAAGGAGACAACAAAGTTAAAAGTAAGACGATTGATATAATAATTATGTTTATAGGGAAAAATACAAACACTGCATATTTCATAGATAGGCAGTGCATCTAGTTATATAGTGTAATTTAAAAGATCTCTTCATTCAAACCTTTTGTACAATGAGCTTGTTGTTAATTCTCATTAGTTAAGTATAATTTTGTGGTCCATTTGGCTAATTAACTTTGTTCTGGAGTTGATATTGTACTCATTGTGTCATTTATGATAAGTATTAAGACTACAGGTCCGAGCTGGTGTCAGCAAGTTAAATAATTTGTGAGTACCTCCTTCATCTTTTATAATCAAACAACTATAATTGTTTTCATGTTGCAGTTGACATCTTGTTGAAAGCCACAGGAAATGCACCCATTATGAAGAAAAAGAAATGGGCTGTTGATGCAGAGAAACCAATTGGTTGGATCATGGAATTTGTGAAGAAATATCTTAAATTAGAGCCTAATGAGAAATTGGTGAGTGCCTAACTAATTAGAAGGCTATTTATTAGACACTGTATATCCCTACAGGGAGTGTATCTACAGAGTACATAATTGCTCATTTGTTTTGTAATTATCTAATGTTGTGGGTCCAAGGGCTGCTCCGAAATCTGTTTGCCAACAGATTGATTGATAACCCATAAAAATATTATCTTCCAGTCTGTTCTATTTCCAAAGCAGCAATAGTTGTAGTTAATTGTCTGTAGAAACTAAGTTATAAAAAAAATGCTATTCATCCTCTTTGAATAACCATGCATACTATTCTATATTGTCTATTCTATATTCATCTTTTTCTTTCAGTTTCTGTATGTGAACCAGACATTTGCTCCATCTCCGGACCAATTAGTGAAGAACTTATATGAGTGTTTTGGTACTGATGGTAAACTGGTGTTGCATTACTGTAAGAGTCAAGCTTGGGGCTGAGTGTCCTTAGAGTTCAGAGTTCTGTGGCATAATGAGACTATTCTAAAAATAAGGTGTTGATTTTATATTGAATCATTTACAGTTTCTAATTGGCTGTTTTTATTGTTTATTGTGTGGTGTGTAGTGTAATAAATGCAGTTTTGAGGTTTTTCTTTGGTAAACTTCCGAGCTCTTTTAACTATATTGCTGTTGTCATTGTTGCCATATCAAACATGTACCATGTGATTGATTACTGCAATCTTTTATTTGTTGGCTAATAACTACAACTAAATGGAAGTATGTAATGTGTTTAGTGAAACAACTATACCAATATTCTGTTTAGGTGCATTCTCATAAACATTGTTTACTGGTCATGTCTCAGAATAATGAAGTTGTGTTTAAAAAGTGTAGGTATTTATGTAAAATTGTTTTAGTTCTAGTCACTACAATTCTTCTATCAACATATGTTTTTCTGCAGTTATAATTCAGTGTAAATATCATTACTATTATTGTCTCTGTGAAAGCTTTCACATGGAGAAATAAATGTCAATGTGTTATCAATCATGATGACCATAACTTATCTACATGTTTTAAGATTTTAAAAACCATAGTAAATCTCAATAAATCTCAATCGAAGCCAAGTCTAGTTTGCCTTGCATATTATTCATTTGCTACCTTTACCACACTGAAATAGCTTTCACCACAACATAGACATCAGGAGACTGAATTAGCTTAAAGCAAAATAAATAATACCTGAAGATCACTTCTGTATGAATCGTACTGCAGGCAGATGTTTGATTGCATTCCACAAGGCTTAATGTGAGATGAGCTCTGTGCCTGCTAATGTATGTGCATTTTTAAATGTGATATTGTATCATACTAGTTATAAGTATATGTATATGAAATAAATGAGTAACGACTTTGTAATGTACCCATCTGTTATTTTTTCTGGTAACAACCCATAAACAAACACAATAGATTGTAAACTTTATACAAATATAATTAAGAATCATCATCATTAAACTGTCAAACACCAAGCGGTCACCGGTGACCACAGCCTATTGTTCTATAATTGTGTCTACAAAACCGGTACTCGACGAGTTAAGGATCAATTTGTTATTGACATTATAACCCAATAAGGTAACTGTATAGCTAAATACATATATATTTATTTGTTTTTTTTTGAGGGTTTGAAGGAGCAGAAAAATAATAAGTTTCACCAAAACACGTTTAATTATAAAATGCTACAATGAATAAATAATTCGGTAGTTGAATAAATCAGATACTTAGTCACAATACTAAATTGAACTGTATTTATTTCTTATCGCCACTGCCGCACACGTATTCTTTACTTGTCGTCCGCGTCGGTAAGTTATCTGAGGACAATACATTGGTTAAGGAAGTTCAAGGCCTTAGCATAACTGTGTAGAGAGTTCAGAGAGATGCCTGTTGTGATCGGCTCGCCTCATCCAAGGCGGAAAAGAAATCTATCTTGTTTTAATTTAATAGTGGTAATTAGGCCTCCGGTAACTTCACTCACACGACGAAACAACGCAAGCGACGTTGTTCCACGTCGATTTTTTGTGAGGCCGTAATATCACTTCGGTCGAGCTGGCTCATTCGTGCCGAAGCATTTAAGCCCACACTTTAATTGTTGCGATAAACTCAAAAACTACTAAACAGATTTTCATTACGTTTTTTTTATTTATTTCATTTGTTAATTCGATCTTGGTTTATTGTTGACTTATTGTTGAATTGTTAATTCGATCTTGAAGTCTAGTTCAAGCACGGACGATCGAAGCTACCTATTTATTCTACTTAGCCAAATGCATATTTGGGAATATTTTTTATTCCCCTCTCCGTGTATCTCTACTATAATAGGTGACTGGGCAACCGGATGCCGCGCAACGTATAGCGGGTTCGATTCCCGCGCAGACTAACTCTGTGTGATCTGCAAATTGCTGTTTCGGGTCTGGGTGTCATGTACTTGTATGTTTATACCCACGACACAGGAGAAGATCCTAGTGTGGAAAAAGTAAAAAAAAAAGAAAAATTATTGTTACCTGGTGGTCTACAGCATTTAAGTCCTGTAGGAGTAGGTTTAGGTTTGTCCGAGGCCTTGGTGTTGTGGGTGCGCGCCGAGTCGCACGCACAGCACGTGGAGTGCACGCTGCCGCGCGTCGTGTCCATCGCTTCTATCTTCTCCGTCTAACGGAATACGTTCTCGTTACTATCTTTGTGGATACTAAAGTACATCAAGATATCTCCCGGACGTGGCTCTAGTAGTGGGCACAGTCTGCAAGCTCAGGTTTGATCCCCAATCTTGGAAGGAAGTGCATTTTATTTTTTGGTTTTCTCAAACAGCAGCACAGATTTAGTTTGCACTGTGTAGTTTCTAAAATTGTTTTTTTTTTTTATGAAATGGGAGGCAAACCAGCTACGCCGCCGATTGCATAAAAAACCCCACAATACCAAAGGGACACTGTTGCGTAGCCGGCCTTTTTTCTGGCAATTCATCTTGCTTTATTCGACTTTCCACTTTATTGTCTTGTATTGTACTTACCTACTTATAATAAGGATGAAAATGTGCACCTGTGTTGTACACAGTTAAGCTTACCTTGTTAGGTGCAGATGGAACATACGGTCGGTCTCCAGCAGCCTTCTGTGGGGCTTTCTCCGCCAGAGGGAGGCGGAGCTCTTCTTGTAAGGTCTTCGCTGATGTTTCCGCTGTTTGTGGGGTCTTGGGAGGCGGTGGGGCGTCTTTGCGGATGTATTGCTAAAAACATGTTTACTTTAACATAGATTCGTGTTAATGTACCTCACAAGGCACCTCTTAATTCAAGACTAAAGATCAGTATGTTTAACTGGTATCTCAGGTATGCGGCGTTTTTGATTGAGGTGTCACAGTATACCTACATATAACTACCAAAGTACTACAAGAGTTAAGTATATAATTATTTAGTTTTACCGAGCACCAGTAGCACAGCGCCTAGACGAATAACGAATATGGCAATTACTTTCACTTATGTCCAAACACCACTCAATTTTAAGAGTTCTGTCACCACAAATTCTTTGTAAAATGATAGAGATGGCTCGATATTTAAGTACAACTTAAAAGTGAGTAGCCTTTCAGTATTCGGGCGTTACTATAACAATGGAATTTATAGAGGTAACATACTAGCGGCCCGCCCCGGCTTCGCACGGGTACATACACACACACACACATACACCCTTCTTTTTTTATTTTTAAAATATAAAATAGCCTATGTTACTCGGGGATAATGTAGCTTTCCAGAGGTGAAAGAATTCTTGAAATCGGTCCAGTAGTTTCGGAGCCTATTCATTACAAACAAACATCTTTCCTCTTTATCAATCAATACATAGTATAAAACAAAGTCGCTTTCGCTGTATGTCCGTATGTATGCTTAGATCTTTAAAACTACGCAACGGATTTTGATGCGGTTTTTTTTAATAGATAGAGTGATTCTTAAGGAAGGTTTGTATGTATAATACATGCATATTGCACCCGTGCGAAGCCGGGGCGGGTCGCTAGTAATTTATATAATAACATAACATAATAACATAACATATAACATACTAAGTGAGTGTTAAATTACAATTTACATCAACACTAAAGATGTGTTCAAGCAATAAAAGGCAGGTAAGTAAAGTACCTACATATGAACTAACGCTTTCAGTGTCATGTTCTCCTAGTACCTACCTCAGGCACTTTCCACACAATGATGCTCCCGGCGGCGCAGCTGCTGACGATGTAGCGCGCGTCGGGACTGAAGCGGCAGCACGTCACCGCGCCCGCGTGACCCAAACCCATGTGCGTGTATATGCCTTCCTGGTACTTCCATAGCTAAATATGGAAAAATAAAATGTTTATTTCAATTAGTTAAAACATTATTAGCTTAATTTATGTAACTAGGGGTTATGTGTTTGAAGTCCCTTCTTTCTCAGTTTCTTTCAGACTCAGGTGAATGTCTAAGCTTTGCTTTCATTGAAATCTATTCTACAGGTTTTGTACTCACCTTAACCATTTGATCATTGCCTCCCGTAACGAACAGATCACCGTTCCGAGTGATATGAAGTCCATTCACAGCGCCAATTTTGCTAGCTTCCAACTGAAATCATTATAAGATAAATTTCCCGTATAAAACGTATTTTTACGTCTAAAAAGATACTAGTTAACCAGGTGAGAGTTACCAGCATTAGGAACTTTGAGATGTCTTATAAGACATAGTGTAAAGAGATGTCCAATGTGCCTACAGCTAAATATTTTCTTTATACCTCTCTAGCAAGGTTGCCACTGCCAGTCTCCCAGTATGCGACCCTCCGGTCGGATCCTCCGGTGAGTAGCTGGCAGCCCTGCGGCTCGAAGCACACACACATGAACAGCGTATTCGCGTACATCACTTGGCGACGGGATAGCGAACTGGAAGACAAAGTTTAATTCAGTTTTGTTTCGTATGGTGCAAATATTGATTAGTTAAAAACACGAACTGAATTATTTTCTTGTGGGAGAACCATATTTTGGCACAAATCGGCCGTCTCGACTCGTCACTAGGCATACTCACGCCTCAAGAGAAACCGTGAAACTGCGCTTGCACTGTGTTACGCCACGTAATTAAAGTTCCAGAAGGCTCTATCCTAGCCCCACACTCGATAGGCCGGTAACACAATAATGTACTTATACATAACTCGTGGCGTTGCGGATGTTCATAGGCGCTTAGCATACCATCAGATAATAGGTTTGCTCGTTTGAACCTCATCTCAAAAACAAAAAAAGAGCAAAGCTAAAAAATGCATTTGAAAGGGAAATTAATTCAACTTACATGAGATCCCATATGATACAGGAGCCGTCAGTCCCAGCACTGACCGCTTCCTTATTATTGGGCGACACCTGTATGGCCGACACAGGGCTCTTGTGCTCCTTGAGGACCTTCTTGAGGGTTTGTTGCTCCGGTCTTATATCCCATACTCGAACCTGGACAGGTGGGTAATATACTTTTAGTCATGATTCGATTTATTTCTAGCTTCGATATTGGTAGAAATCGGTACTTATGCAAAATTATATTAAAGTCCGTTCAGTACCTCCTTTTTATAGGTACTTAGTGCTAAATATTCACTCTTTCATAAGTCTTTCTGAAAGAGTGAATATTTAGCCCTACGTCCGTAGGGCTTTCTTCAGCATTCGACGTACCTATTCATATTCTAGCTAATGATGATATTATGAAGATTAAGAGGTAATAAGTAGCAGGTCTGTTCCAATCGACCGATCTGGAAGTTTTTGGGGGAGGCCAATGCTCATTAATGGATGTCTTCTAACTAATATCATTATACAATTGTATGTAAATATAACACTCAGTTACCTGTCCCTCGCATCCTCCAGAGATGAGAGTCCTGCCATCATCTGTCATGTCGAGAGCGGACGTGCCCTTGTTGTGTGTGTTGAAGATGGCGTATATTAAACGGCCCGTGAGAGGCGTGAACGCACGGATATTGCCGTCGTTCCAAGCTGAATAAAATGTTATTGTATGGGATAAATTTAATCAATGTGTTGGTCTTCTTCTAGAGTTTTATTGATCCTATTAAGTACATATTTGATGCCACCAACTACTACATTTTAATATAAATAGATTTTCTGCAGATTGTTTTAAAAAATTACATATTTTTAGTAACGGGTGGTGTTTCTTCGTCTATCTTTTTCAAACGAACTTTGAACTGGTACACCAACAAACAATTATATTTTGACGTTTCAAAAGTACAGTAAAATACTTTCACTTTACAAACTACTTTGTAAAGTTTTAAGTACTTACCTGACACAATAGACTTTCCATCTCCGGAGAATAGTACAGCAGAGCACGTGAAGTTAGGCACCACGATACGGAGCAGTTCCTGACATGTCTCCAGGCACCACACTCTCACGTCACCAGAACCCGCAGTCGCGAATACTCCGGACATACCGCTGAAGAGAGAGATGGTTCAGTGGTAATTGGTTAAAATGACCATTAGAGACCCTAAATGGAGGCCCAATATTTTATCTCCAATGCCTATGTCGCGGAGAACCTAACGGGTAACCGGGGCTCCGGCTCGACGTGCAGGAGAAGGAACGGGGTGGTTTTTAGTCACACTCCCTCCCGCTTCACCCAGGCGGGAGCAGTCATTCGATGATTTTCACCCCTTAAAAAAATCCCAAAAGGTCGGCAACGCATTTGTAATTGTTCTGGGCTTACTCTTGAATCCAATTTCGACCGATCGACATTGACACTGTGAAATTTTGTACTCTTAAGTTGCAACACTAGCGCTCATTGCATCCGTATTGCGTAGATATTGAATGAACTAAATGGTATTGTTGATATTGGCTTTATATTTTGTACTCTGAATGCTATTTTAACAGGTACGATAGGGGTTGTATACTTTTGAGATTGCATAATTATTGAGATTTTATTGGATTGACATTGGGATTGTTTTCAAGAGTAAGGACCCTGATGTTGCCATGAGCGATGAGTTGATGACTCATCACTATATATATCGTCCGATAAACAGTATTAAAACTTTCAATACTTACTGAGGGAAAGCAATGTCATTGATAGCACATCGATGGCACGTGACTACGAGGATGGGGTTGAAGGTGGCCACATTGATGGCGTATATCTCACTGCTCCGAGTACCAGCTAGTAGGAGCCGCTTATTGCCACGCAGATCTGGAGACTCCATCAATTCCAACGAAGTTATACTGCCTTCCAGTTTTGTTGTTTTTAACTGTAAAATAAGGGTAGGTATTGAAGTAATTATTTCAAATTGTCCTGTAATTAAATTTACTTTTGTAAGAAACCCTTTCTATTGATCCTTGAACTTAAGTTTAAAAGAAAAAAGCTCTGGTTAACCTGGGTAGTGTATTTCTTGATAGGGGTCCCCTTTATCACCTACCTGATGTACAAATGATGAGAGATGATTGTTCAAAACTACTTTTAAAAACAGTTTCTAATATTTAGGGGGCTTTTGGAGATAAAAGCAGACACGATATCTTCAATACCTAAAATGGTTTTAATAACTACGTGTTAATATTATTAAGTACTTACTGCTTTAAAATGTGGCTTGTTGGGGTCCAGTATCTTGCCTTTCGGGAAGGATCCCTTCCAGTTGATCTCGTCCAGGACATCGATTGTTCCGTCTCCACCGCCCACGATGAGGCACCCGTCGTCCATTATTAGGATTGATTCTATTCCTGAATAAAATATAAATACATAGATAGACATTTTTTGTAAAAAGAAGATAGGTATAAAAATAGGTTTGAAAATATGTAGGTATTTATAGAATAGTTAATATCCTGACTATGACTGCCTCGTTGGCCGAGTGGTCGCAAGTGCGACAGCCTGTAAGGGGTCTCGGGTTCGATTCCCGGGCCGGGCAAAGTATTGCTGGGTTTTTTAAAAAAAATCTCAGTAGTAGCACGGAGCCTGCAATTGTGCCCGGTATATGGCAATAGGCTCACCCCCTATTACATGGGACTCATAACTTAGAATAGTGAAAAGTGGGTGTTAAATTATACAGTGGCTTTAAGTGCTGTAATGTGCACCTTGCCGACCCCTTCGGGAATAAAACGCTTGAAGTTAAGTTAAATATCCTACCTTGACTGTAGCAAAGAGATTCAGGTCTCCTGCCCTTCTTCCATGGTCCACATTTGGCGAGGCAGCCAATCAGTGCCGGCTTGCACATGTTCACCGAAGCCGTGGGGTCGGAAGGGTAGTTTATAGAAAACTTTATCATGTCGCCAGTTCTAGATGAAAAAAAAACAGGTAAGTATAGATAGAAAGCGTTCCTATTGCAAGACAATGGCAAATTGGAGAAATGAATAGAGTAGTCCTCGTAGTCCAAAAAACCTTTATAAATTAATGTGCTCAAGAGTCAGGTACGTACGTGGTCCCAGCATATCCATAAGTATCGTCTTTATTAATGGCGATGCAGCGCACACTGCGCCGGAGTTTGCCGAGCGCTACATCTATCACGTCCAGATTTTTGCTCTCAGCTCGAATGTTCCAAACTCTGAGATTTGCTATAGAATATTATTCAATTAAAATAGTGAAGACAATATGGTAATTTCGTGAGAAATAAGTACTTCACCTTATTAGTTGAGTCTAGTCTCTAACAATGAGTAATGAGGTTGGTTTCTAGGAGGAAACCGAATTCCTTGCTGAGCAAGTGGTTGGATTTCCAGTCTGAATATTAGGATTTTGGGATCGATAAGATTTTCAGAGAATGTGCCTGAGTACCTAAGCCAATGTGTCAGATAAGATCGCTTCTAATACTGCTATGATAGCATTGCAACTATTGCTAATGTCAGAGACTAAGGAGGTTGATACAACGCATTTGGGTATTACATAGATAAAAGGTGGTAGTGAGAGACGTCTCAGAAACAGAAAGAAAGGTATCTAAATGGTGTAAACCACTTACAATCACCACCCGTTACAAAGGAGTTGACTCTCAAATTGAGGGCAGTCAGCGTCACAGCGTCTCCTGTGGTCAGCCTAGTTGCTGCTGCTGTTCCTGTTGCAGACTCTGCGAAACAGTCCCATAATACCACGCACCCGTCATCACGACCGCCTAGCGATATCATGTAGCGCTCGTCTGATGAAAATGTTAATGATTCCACGCGCACCTGGGGAGGTAAATATAAAGAGGTAAAATGTTAGTAATCTTAAGATACCTGCTTTATCCTTATAAGCTTTGTCTAGTGTCTCACACTAGGTAAAGGAACACGAGAAAATGCCCCGAATCTCCATATTTCCCTCGAGTTTCATTTTAGATCACACAAATAGCTGCACCGGGATCGGACCCGTGACCTGTATACTGTCTGTTGTTATTATGGGACACTATTACATATATTGTCTCAACATTTGCCAAATCTTCTCATCGTCCAGGAACAGTAAAGAAACGAGTAAGTAATAAGTAGGTATATACAATAGATAGGTAAGTATGATATGGAGCCGCGGAAGGCTTAACGGGTTGCCGGGGTTCCGGCTCGAAGAGCAGGAGTAGGAACTGGGGGGTTTTTAGTCAGTAGAGAGTCTGACACTCCCTCTCGCCTAACTCAAGGCAGAAGAAGTCATTGGATAATTTATTTTCCCCCCTCAAAAAAAAAGTATCACATACGTACCTTATGCAGTTCATGACTTCCAACTTGTATCTTCTTTTTAAAATCCCAGACTTTAGCAGAAGCTTTAAACCCAATGTGGTTTATTTGGCCTGAACCCACGTAAGTGCCCCTGGGAGATATCGCGACAGTTGATACACTGTTGCTATGTCCACTGAGGAAGTACATCTTCTTCGTCTTCCACTCCTGGATGCAGACCTTGTTGCCCATTGGGTACACTATATGTTCACTGTCAGGGTGAACCTTGAGCCCACGTATAGCCGAGCCTGTGTTGGTTTTTTAAAAGATTTTCAAAAATTAGGTACTTATATAGGTACTTGTCTCACTTGTCTATTGGTAGTATTTATAAATGTATCAAGAAATTGGCTGCGGTAATTCAGAAATCGAGCGCCGACACATATTATCACTGTACTGGTGGTAAAATTTTATAATTTACACAGCACGAGAAAGTCTAATGATAGGTAAACAGTACAGGGTAGACCCTGATCTAGAGATCAGCACCTGTGGAGCTTATGAATGATCGCGCAGCCGCAACCTGTTTCTTATCTCTTACTTTATTTACCATCAAAACTTAGCGCAAAGTTAACATAGATTTAAAAAAAATATTACTTACCATCAAACCCAATGATAGCATAAGACTCCAAATTCTTTACATCACCCATTGTATATATCAGTCTTTTATGTTAATGTACAATATATTTACTAATATTTGTATAATAAAATAGGAAATATTAAAAGATAAAATATATTGTCAGTTTAGAAGACTTGATGTTTGCTTTGACGGTTGTTAGGCAACCTGTAAACAATTTGTTGCCATAGTTACCGATGATTATGAAGGTGATACTAAAGAGATGGCATGTTTTACCATTGTCTATGGTCTAGATATCCAAAGTAAATTAAGAATTTGTTAACCAGACTAGAAGTCTGCCCTTCTAATCTAGGAATGTGTATTTAAAGTAAAACAAAATATATACCACAACAATCATTTAATTAATACATTCACATTCAGTCAGTACATTTAGTAACAATAATCCTAAATCATCATTATCAGCAATATACCTAGTACCTATACAGGCCACTCGTATTCACACTGGCCAAAATTTATATCAAAGAGTACATAATATAATTACATATCTCATTTCCTTCCTAGGCATCTTCTGCGCACAGCCTTAGCCTTTTCATCAACTCTTTCTTTGGCCAACTCCGCAATACGCTTGGTTTCATTAATCATGTACTGTTTGATGACTGACAGGAACTCTGAGAGCTGAAATAAAGTAAAATATATTACTTTCTTCACCTAAGAATACTCACAGCACAGACCATCATTTCAAGTGTGAGACAAAAGGAACAACAATACTGTTTGTTCTGTAGCATTAGCAGTAATTAAAACCAGTAGAAACGTTGTCGTGGTGGCCCGGTGGTTTAAGCCCACTTCTCATGCATGAGGGTGCGGGTTCGAAACCTACCAACGGCAAGTACCAATGTGACTTTTTCCGAGTTATATGTACTTTCTAAGATTATTTAGACACCACTGACAAACGGTGAAGGAAAAACATCGTGAGGAAACCAGGACTTATAATTTCTAATTATAAGTTTGAAATCACCAACCCGCATTGAGCAAGCGTGGTGATTAACGCTCTAACCTTCTCCGTGTGAGAAGAGGCTTTGCTCAGCAGTGGGCATTTATAGGCTGTTGATGATGAAAACCAGTTGAAACACCCACATAGGTATATTCCTAAAATAAATCAAGCCCTTTGTGTGATGAGACTACACTTTCTAAAGCCAAAACTATGATAAACTCACAAGCAGTTCATCTTCTTTTTTTCCCATCTGAACGAAGGCACATTTCATAGCATGGCTCTTGTGCTCCGCCCAAGGGTCATCACTAGCTTCCCAACCATCCAACTCTTTTCCACATAGAAAGCATTTGGCAGCATCAGCATCATCAGCACCCGTCGCTACTGAATAAAAACCAGCTTCAGCCATGTTTCGCACATTGCATTTATTTTTGTCACTAAACGGCCAGTTCTTAAATGTTTTTATTCTTTCTTCAACTAAAAATAAAGGAGGACTTTCTAAAGTATTATTTGTCATGATGGGACAGAAAGGGTTATATTTATATACGCAAAAAAACTTTCAAATTAAACCACAAATCCACAAAATAATTGAAAATAAACTTCCAACAGCGTTATACGATTTCAGTTACAAAAACAAATTTTAAAATATTTTAGGTGTCAGCTAGCTGTCACTGTCATATTGTAAATGCCTGCATCATTGCGTAGAAAGAAGCGTTGCTTCAGAAAATATTCTCGATAGTAGCAAAGACAAAGTTATGTGAAAGATTAAAAAAAATCTTAAAGGTTAAATAATGTTGTTTATATTAATTATCATGTTTTTGTTCCAAATAGGTATGTACTGTACCAACAATAGAAGTTTTAAGTTCAATTTAGTTAGGCGAGTGGTAAAAACTCAAAGTTGACATTGACACGAAAGAAAAGAATCGAATACATTGAGCGGATGAGCGAGATCGTGTTAGTAATCGAGTCACTCTCACTCACATTTACTTTTTGGTGTCCGTTCTCTTTATTTATTTCATTTCCATTCCATTCTACAGAATCGCTCGTCGAGGTTTTTAGATCAATTTTGCGAATTTTAGGTTGTTCAATTCAGTCAATACTGCTTCAAAAACGATAATTATCAATAAAAATAACAAGATTTTAAAAAGATTTAAAAGTCAAAGAGTTAGAAGTCGTTCGCTACCTCTTGATTGAGCGATTAAAAACGAAACCAAGTGCCTAACATTTTACCCTCTTTTGTTGTTTCCACTATTTATCGACTTTCATTTATTTTCGTGTATTTTTAAGTGATTTTACGCGAGTATTGCGATGATCCGAGCTGTTTTCTAGCATCGACCAGTCGAGTAAAGTATTTTGGTAAGTGTTCTAAATGTATCTTTATTATTTTGGTCCAGTATGTAAACGTGAAACTATCCATGCATGAATAATAGTTATCTTAGATGTTGACGATATTCTTAGAAAAATACTAGATAAAGTTATTGCTAAACTAAGAACCACTAAGTTCAAGTAAGTATTAGAAAGTTTAATTGTATTAACAATAACTTTCGGTTTCTAAATGAAAATATTAAGATAATCATAAACTATTAAGTTTAAAAAATAGTTTTTATTCAATATGTTGACTAGGCAGATGTGAATGGGTCCTTGTTTAGAGCTACCTCTCAAAAATTAGATATTAGAAAGTTGCAGCCCATGTCCTTGTAGATTCATCTGGGTGGAGGTAGGTCAAACAGCTGACTGGAATCTTTTTACACATCTTAATTTCTGCTTTTGATAATAATTAGAATAGCCAATGTAATTTTCTTATAAAGTTACCTAAGTATTTAAAAAGTACCATAAAAAAGATAGTATAAAAATCAAAATATAAAATTCTCGTTAGAATTGTAGTTTTTTTAACATACCAAAACGGTGTATAGTTCTTATTAGATTTTATTTTAATATTTCATAGTTGAATAAAACACCCAAAGAATGATAATAATACCGGCACACAAAGTTCTATAAAATAATTATTAAAACTATTACAATATTGTTCAAACTATTTAAGTTAAATGATCCATGATTCATTGGTTGTCCATTTATTTATAGCTTATCTTCTGCCCTGTTTGTAAAATGTAATGTTATTTGATTGGCCGTACCTACAGATTCATTAGTATTGTACCTACATTAGTTACAATACATTATCATTTGTGTGTGCATTGTAGTAGTAAATCTACAACATAATCACTCCTAACCAACCAACTTGGCAATTAAGTAAAGTGTATTGGAATAGATCTAATAAATTAACAAGTTACTAATGTCAGTTTTAGAATATTTTTTAACAAACACATATTTTTTAATAAAAGTAAATTTTAATATATACTCTATGCTTTCCAAAAATATTTTAGTGCTTCTAATTTCTTCTAACAGGGTACCGGCTCTTTATTCTTATAAGAAAAAAAGTTAGATAAAGACGTCTCAACCATAGATAAATGAAGTAACAAGGGTAACATGCCTATAGCACAAAATAGGGTCTAAGGTCAAGGTTCCAAAATCGCGCAGTGTTCATTAATTTCAGTACAAAATAATCCTTACATAATTAATAAAATTATTTACATTGTAAATAGCAGTTTCAAGCTAAATGTTTACAGGAAACCAATTTTAGAACGTGGCACAAATTTTTGGCGGTTATCATCTGCAATTGCGCATTTGGCGCGCATTTAGATTCCCTCATCCAACAGACTATTAATTTTATTTCTGATTTCGAACAGTCTGGGAACCCGCCGGTCGTTGGACGACGTGACGTGTTCCGATGTACGCGTGTGACGGTGTGACGTGTATTTACGCATCGTTTTATTCTTCAGCACTACATAAAGTGTCACGTGATGTTAACATTGTTTACATTACTGTCAAATTAGGTTACGTTCCGTGAAAGCATTCTCGGAAATATACATATGTTTAGCTCGGTCGCAAAGGCGACATTCTCCTTTTAATTCTGAAGACATGGCGGGTGTTTGTCCATGGAGGTTTGCGCAGAACTCTTTTAACATCCTTAGCAATTTTTGGCTTTCTCTCTTCCCAGATTCGACCACTAGTTACTAGTTCAATTGAACTAAAAGCCCGGTTATTTCCACTCCTGAAAAAGTAACATCGCGATTAGATTTCTAGTTAAACTAAATTTTGACCACTAATTACACCATCTTAAACGCTTATTACTTAAGCCTAAGATGACTTTGTAAGATTCCAACTGATAACTAAATATAGATTTTTAGTCTGGCTATTTTATAAATTCACAAAGAATCAATAGGGCTTGTGATTTATCATCAAATGTCATTACCACATGTAATTTCTTGGCAAACATGCGATAGCAATGTCGTTGGCGAGGTCCGAGGACTCACGACATAATATGGTGCTAATCGTGTAAGGTCACGATATAGGAAGTAAAATTGATTGATTCATTCATATCATATCTTTAGATACCTACATGAATCGACTCGCAAAATATCAGCAAAACTGATATTTTATTGATTAATCTAGTTCGTTAGGTAATTAGGTACCTACCTAGTTCTTATGTCATCAGAATCAAGTTAATTTACTTAAAACAAAATATTAATAATACCTATAGTGAATTGATTGTATTGTACCAGTATTGTCCATTATAAACGCTGTGGGAGAGAAACTGTGCGAATGTTAGGAAAACGATATTTAATATCACTCGATCAATGAATCAAATTGATTTATTATGCATTATTTATTATCAGCATCTGTATTCTACTCCGCGTAGAATTATTGATATTTTACCTCTTTAATTTACTAAAATATTAAATTTACGCCATTAACGTATTGTCGCTATCGAAGCGTCTCAACGAATTTATAATTCGGTAATTCTAGGTTAATCTTAATCAATTATAATTAATGTCAAAGGATTACCTAAACATGATTAGGTGATAGTATTATTACACTCTAGGAATATGCGATAAAATTAATCTTGTACAAGCTAGAAAAATATAGTTTTATGTTTAGGAGTAAATCCGATGAAAATCCTATTAAACTTTGGTAAAGTTTCCAACTTTTACTGGATCGTAAAATATTTTAGTTGGGCTTAGAAAGATCAATGCACGAAAGTGAATCGCAGCTCAATCTATCTCGTACGAACCTTTTCGATCTTGTATCGAATTTACGTCCCAAGGGCTTTAGTCTACTTTCTTCGTAACCTTTATCGATTCCTCAGAGTGTCTAACAGAAAGTTTAGCAATTTTAGTAAGTGTTACTACCTAAGTATTGCGGTACAAATTGCCTTCATCTGTCCGACAACCGTCAGACATTTTCGTACAACATCTACAAAGTAGAAGGACTATTCTTATTATTCCCATAGATCTCATATTAGAATCGCACACAGTTCGAGTGCAAATACTACAGCTGTTACAATTGTAGATATTATAGAACGATGTTCTCTTTTGGACTAGAGATCTGTTCTCTACTAGCAACGTTCTCTGTGGGAAATTGAAAATCTCGATGAAAATTGTGTACAATGAATAACCGAAACGAATCATTCTTACAGTTATTCTTGGTAGATTACTTACAGTCTTTATCTTGTATGTTGTAATTTTAGTGTCATTGAATGCGATTGCAACTTGCAACTCGTGAAACAATGATCGTGTTCGTGTTTCGTCTTATTATGCGAAGCGGATCACGTGTGGTGTGACTTAATGTGATACTGTTTACTAATAATGAAGGCCATTGCCCGTCCCGGTATGTGTACCGTCGCGAAATTGCTAAAACCCACCAGAATTCAAAACAAAACATAACAGATTCAAATAGAAACTAGTTTAGATAAAAACGTGGGACGAAACAAGAAATAACGGCACTTGACGACAGGCCCATAGTACAATTTGTTTTAAGAAAATATATCGTACTTACACAATTGTGGTAGTTCGTAAATTATAAGTAGGTATACACTTAAGTCTATTGTTGTGCTCCTAATTAGCATTTCCACAGAATGATTGTTAAACACAACTAACTGCGTAATTGGTTGCAAAGTCTTCAGCTTTTTAAAACATGAAAAAAGGCAATTTTTTATTATAGCAGTAAAAATGGAATGAAGTCTGGCTACCTATAACTTGTATTCGACATATGCCTATATATACCTATATCGAATACAAGTTCACAAATTGTTAAAAGAGATCCCGTAAACAGATTTTTGAGACAAACATGTAATAAACATTGCTTTCCTTCAAAAAGGTATAATACATGCCAAGGATTCAACAAAATTCACTTGTGAAACTTGAGGATTAGGTCAGCACCTAATCCGGTGGAAATCCTTTCGAGACTTCTGGAGTTACTATCGGGCGTAAATCAACGTATCGCTGGCGACAACAAGCCTGATTTATTTTATGATCCGCCAGTAAAGTTGCGACAAATATCCCAATGGGAACGAGTGCTATGAAAGAGGAATGGAATGACGTTTGTTCCGTTACACTGAAGTTGGATTACTCTTTGCATATTTAACATTTGTTTCGTGACAGGGTAGATGTGTTACTACAGCTTTTATTGTTCCAGTCTGAAGTGTTGTTAATCTTCTTTGTGTGTGACTTTGGTGTTCGTTTTCAAGTTGATTTTGAATAACATAGATTCATTTTTATAACTGGCACAATACATCATTTCATTACAGAATAG